TTCAGCGCTGAAAAGTGGCAAGCAGGAGAGGCAGCAGACCGTGTCGACTCGTTTGATGGAATCCGTGGCGGCCTGGCAGGGAGCCGAGCTCGGAGTTCCAGACTCTGATGTCAGCCGGCACCATCGGAGAGGTGATCAACTGCTGCACCCAGCCTTACCCCCCCGACTCGATCGACCGCTCCCGTTCTTGACAGCCCCAACTGCGACCCCCCTCCGACCCGATCTACAGCCGACCAAGTCGCACGGGGCTGTTGGGCTCGGTGCAGTGGCTACGCGCTTGCGAGTCAGCGCGGTGACCAAATCGAGGCGATCCGGGCCGAGCAGCTGCCGCCAAGGCGAGGCTCGACGAGGACGCAGCGATCGGCAGACGCGGATGAGATGGACGAGGCCACGGCGGGCGTGGTGTTGGTACAGAGCGTCGATGTGCCAGGGTGGTTGGTGCGCATGATCGGAGAATGAGCCCGTTGTTGGGTTTGACGGCGCTGTTGACGGCGAGCGTGAGCGCCGCGGGCGCAGCGGATGAGGTTGTCGCGGGCGATGTGGCGGCTGATGACGACTTTGGTGAGTGAAGCTGATGGCGACAACGTCAGAGTTGGTCTTCTGCGAGGCACGGCGGACGGATGGACACGATTGTCGGCAAGGGGGAGAGCGACGATGCTGGCGTGATCGTGCGGTCTCGACACTCCTGCTGCGATGCCGTCGCAGCTCGGTGCCTCCGCCTGTCTTTTTGATTGTTAGTATTGCTAGAGCCTTCATCCAACGGATAGCGGTAGAGAGTGGTGTGAAAGGGTGGTGCGATCGTCGGCGCAGCAAAGACCATTGAGCCGCCTGTTGTGGATCTGCCAAACGCAGACAACATTCAGGCTGTGGTGCAGGAAGGCTTCCTGGACAGTGTGGCGACAATCGAGGCTATTGGAGCGCTGGGCATGAGCTGCGTGGTTGTGGCCGACAACATGAACAAGTTTACGTGGGAGGGATCGGCCTCGCTCTACACCGACTCGTGGTTGGAGGATCCGGTGCGATTCGAGTGGAACGGGACCGAGAACCTGCGGTCTGCAATGGATACCATTCGTCCGTACTGCGAGCATGCGGCGACGATGTACACTCCTCCGCGCGATACCGCCGCGAGCCAGAGTGGTGAAGGTCTATTCGAAAATACGCTCATGGTTGCCCTCGTCGGCTCTGCCGTGGGCGTGGCTGTCGTCGGTGGCGGCGTCGGCGCCGGCGTCGCCGTCTCCCGCAAGACTGGCCGCTCGCCTAAGTCGCCCAAGGCCATCGCTATGGCGGGTATCTGAGTAAACATGCTCTCGTTCACTCTCGCCGATCGCGTCAAATAACCGGCGAGTCGTTTCCTAGCTACAGCCTTGATCGCCTCCAAAGCACGCCTCGGCTGCGCACCGGGCAAAGGCTGAAGAGAATGATATGGGCCACTGCAAGGCCGCGCTCATGGTTGGTTTGGTGTGCAAATCGCTCACAGAGCTGCTGATCGCGCTGCAGATGGCCAGGACCGCGATGGAGGCGATCGATCATCGAAGCAGTCTGCTCGTCTCGCGGCTCGGCCTCTTGCATGTGCTGCTCGCACCGAGTGCCACAGAAGTGAGCAGCACGGATGCGAGCCGTAGACTTGCGTGACAGAAGCCGAGGCCAACTGCTCTCTCGTGGACAAGGCCATACCCATGGCAAGACGTGATGTGAGCGAGCGGTTCATGCGCGCTCGAGGACAGCACCTGTTTGTGGCTCATGCACTCGAGAGCCAAGTCGCGGCTCTGCTCACCGGGCCGCGGTCACCGCGAGCACAGGCCGATGTCCGCCAACCATGCGGCTCGTGCGGATCACAGCTGAAGAGGCTCTGAGGACGTGCTGCTGGCAGC